TTATTTTGATATATCACAGTGAAAGATTTATCGTCCTCTTTTTTTTTGACCCTTTTTAAAAAAAAAAAAAAAAAAAAAAAAAAAAAAAAAAAGCAGGTTGAGCACAGGCCAGAGGAGCAAGCCAGTAAGCAGTGATTCCCCATGGCCTGTGCTCCAGCTTCCTGCCCTGAGTTCCTATCTTGAGCTCCCCATGAACTGTGACCTGGGAGATGTAAGCTGAATAAACCCTTTCCTCTCCAAGGTGATACTGGTCAGAGTGTTTTGTCAAGGCAATGGAGAAACAAACTAGGACACACATAAAATAAAATAATTAAAAAATGGCAATACAATTCTTATGACTCCATAGTAGCATAGACCTTAGGCGAGGCAGAGTGACTGCAAGCTCCAGTGGGGCTCTGCAGAAAGATCCTGGTCTCAAAGAAACCCCAGAATTAATGAGTAAAGAATGTGAATGGGGGCTGGAGAGGTGGCTCAGTGGTTAAGAAGTGCTGACTGCTCTTGCAGAGGACCTGGGTTCGACTCCCAGCATCCACATGATGGCTAACAACCATCTGTAGCTCTACTTCCAGGGGATCCAACACCCCCTTCTGATCTCTCAGGCATTACAAGACATGTGTACACCTACTACATACATGCAGGCAAAACACTTATACACATAAAATAAAAATAATAAATAATATTTAAAAAAAAAAGAATTTGAATAGGACTGATGGATCTGACGACCTGAGTTTGAGCCCCAGAACCCGTGGTGGAAGGAGCATGACCACAAGTGCTGTGGCACATGCACACCCGAGTACATACACACACGCAGAACATAAATAAAAGAGAAAGAACTGGAATGGACATTTCTGAGGATACACTGACAATAAGCACATGGTAACACTTGAGCTCAGCTGGGAAGTTCTGGGTTTGACCCTCAGCACTGCAACAAGTAACAACAAGCAACAAAACCCAAAATCAAAACAAAATGATGGACAACACAGTGCTGTCGGGAATTAAGCTGGTACAGCTGCTTTGGCAAACATCTGGCAGATCCTCCTAAGATCAAACACAGGGTCACCATGTGATCCAGCAATTCCATTCTTAGGCATATGCCCAAAAGAAATGAGGACTTACACCCAAGTAACTCACATGTCCGAATGCCCATGAATGAATGACTATGGTACGCCCATGTAGTGGAATAGGATCTGGCAATAAGAAGGAGGTTAAGCACCTACCCATCCAACAGCCTGGATAGCTTTAAGCATGCTGCTAAGTGATGGCAACTAGTCGTGGAAGACCACATACTGTAAGACTCTGGGTCCACAACAGTAAGTCCACAGAGACAGAAAACAGATACATGGCTGCCTTACACCGCAGAGGGAAGACAGAAGGCTGGAGAGTAACCATTAATAGGCCTGGGGTCTTCTAAGAGTACTAATACCCAACATTAAAACATGAGATACACGAATTACATCTTAAAAGCTGATCAAACCAAAACAAAACCCGTGGCAGCTTTCCTCCATCTCACCATTACCAGCTTCCAGAATCTACAGCCGCCTTCTTTCCTCACTGACAGCAGTAGATGCTAGTGTCCTCACAGGAATGTAAACTCCCTGACGGCCAGACCTGTGTACTTCCTGTTTTCCTAGCACTACTGAGCGTCTGGGCCACAGAAGATGCTGGAGAAACAGTCCCTCAAGAAGTGAGCAAATCAACCACCCAAACCCCTGGGACAGAGGGAAAGGCTGTTTTCAACAGCAGCAGACATTCACAGAAGCATACTTCCAACTGGCTGAAAATGAAGGAACAGACATTCTCATGTGCCATGGAAAAATAAAAAGCACCCCATCAGGGAGACTGTGTCTCAAAAAGACAAACAAACAAACAAACAAACAAACAAACAAACAAACCGGCCCTCAGGGGCTGGAGAGATGGCTCAGCGGTTAAGAACACTGGTTGTTCTTGCAGAAGACCTGGGTTTGAATCCCAGCACCCACATGGCACCTAACAACTGTCCGTAACTCCAGTCCCAAGGGATCCGACAGCCTCTTCTGACCTCTGCAGGCATTGCACGACATGGTGCACTTATATACATGCAGACAATACGCATAAAATAAAAATAATAAACACAACACTCCCTTCCAAACAACGCCACAGCAGCTGTATTTCGGGGCCGCCACTGTGTCTATTGTTGGATGTGACTTAACAAGATCAAAGGTCAGTGGTCCGGCTGGGAAGAGATGAACTCTGCCCTTTGCTGGTTACCTGGCAAAGAGCCACATGGGTCTTCTTTAACTGCAGTCAGGCTGAACTGGCAGTGATTCCAGAGCACAGGATGCTCTTGCTCCCCAGGGCAGAAATGGGCAGAGTAGACATGGGTGTGAAGGAAGCAGCTCCTGGCCCACTGGCCTGGAACAGCCAAGGGACTCTCAGAAGCTGCCCAACAGCCTTTGGTCACTCCGGGGGTCCGAGCAGATCAACTGGTGCTGCGGTGGGACTTTCTGGCTCCCTCTGCTCTTCTCTTCTCCCTCCCCACCAGAGCAGGTCCCATTTACAGTTTACATTTCCTTCTTCATGCTTCAAAGTCATGTGAACGGGGTCATGTAGTATGGCTTGGAGGACGTGCACTGGAGTCAGAAGACTTAGACTAACACACTGACACGTGCCTCTCTAGATCTTAAAAGGAGGCTGGAAGCAGGTGGATCTCTGTGAGTTCAAGGCCAGCCTGGTCTACCCGGAGTTCCAGGTCAGCTGGGGCTACAAGAATACCCCGTCTCAGCAGGTGTGGTGGTGCATGCCTTTAATCCCAGCACTTGGGAGGCAGAGGCAGGCGGATCTTTGTGAGTTCGAGGCCAGCCTGGTCTACATAGTGAGTTCCAGGACAGCTGGGGCTACAGGGAGACCCTGTCTCAAAAAACACAGACAGACAGACAGACACACACACAAAAAGACAAAAAAAAAAAAACCAAAAAAGGAGGCTGGAAATACATTGGCATGGTTGGTGTGATGGGAGCTGACAGTGCATGGTTGGTGTGATGGGAGCTGACAGTGCATGGTTGGTGTGATGGGAGCTGACAGTGCATGGTTGGTGTGATGGGAGCTGACAGTGCATGGTTGGTGTGATGAGAGCTGACAGTGCATGGTTGGTGTGATGGGAGCTGACAGTGCATGGTTGGTGTGATGGGAGCTGACAGTGCATGGTTGGTGTGATGAGAGCTGACAGTGCATGGTTGGTGTGATGGGAGCTGACAGTGCATGGTTGGTGTGAT